AATGACTAAATTTTGATCCCTGAAATCCTTGGTAATACCAATGTTCACTTTGTCTGGTTTTGTTGCAGCATGCCCCAAATAACAAAATTCAAATATGAAACATACAAATGATTTATAATCTTGGCCTTGTTTTCTTGTAAGATAATTTTTGCTTTAAATAAACAGTTAAAGATAGAATTTTTTGTTGATAACAATATATTCCAATCCTGGTCATAATTATCTTTATCCAATTAGGACATCCATGTGTGTCTAGTATAGAACTGGATATCAGATCATTATAATCATAATAATTTGGACCAAATTTTTCTACAATATTTTTTAAAGTATCATAAAAAGTTGACCCCTTGAATTAAATTCAAAAACAAGAGTTATAGGTTAGAATCCTAAAAACGTCATGCTAACAATAGTGTATATGGAGCATATTTAAATAAGTGGGGATTATGTTAATACCTCTGTGAAATAAATTTAAATCGTTTTTGAATATTTGGTCATCTGTTGCTCTTTCTTGCCTAAGAAATAAATATAAAGGTAAGTTAATTTTAATCTGAATTAGAATGATGAAAATTTGCAATTCTTTTTAAAATAACACTTACGTAATGATCTCGATTTGTTTTGTTTCAACTTTTCTTCTTGTTTTTGATGATAACTTTTTTTTTATATTTTTTTTTTTTAAAAATAAAGTTATTAATAACTAGAGTGACAATGAGCGGTGATAACCACCACCATTCTTAAAACACTTACCCTTTCATTTCTGTTGCATTTTTTCCATTTTTTCTTTTTCTTGATTCTTTTTTTGGTGGCATTTTGAACAAAAAAAGAAAAAAAAGTTTATTAATTGATCGCAAAATGCATGCAATTAATTATTTATGTATATATTAGTATGGTTTTTTTTGTTGACGTGATTGATTTTTTTTTTTTGGAAAAACAATCTTATTTTAACAAGATGACAAAACGTGGTTCTCCTAAAGAAGATGTGTTAATAACAGAGGTACTATTTTTTATTTGTATTGATATATATAGTCGCACCTGTCTATTTGCATGCTGT